TCACGACTCTACGAATAGAGGATTTATCAACCTTGAAAGTAAAATAGCGCATTGCTAATCCACGAGTGGAGTAGTAGTGTCTTTTGGACGCATCCCAATAAGTTATCTGCGTTCCCCGGTGCAGGCCTGTGCTTTTCCTTGTTTCACCTCGGTCCATACACATTGGGAGAAGGGCTTTTTCACTCTCATTTAACGTCGAACAGATGTTCTCTATTTGCGAGCCGCTTTCGCATGCCACAGCAGATAATTGACCCACTGGGCTCTGATTCGTGTCCGAGATCCACCACACCTTGGCATCTACCTGCGTTGGCACAACTATGTGGTGCTCGATCATCGTCCATTTCTTGGAAGTCACACGAGAGCCATCGGTTGTCGTTAGTACGAAAGTATGTGAACGAGCCATTAGGCATCATTTGCAATTGATCGAGTTGGGCTGGCTCCAACTGTTTAATAAACTGGCTTGGCATCATAACGTTGCTTCCCAACCATTAAGCAGCTTCACACATACATATTTTTCTCGTACAAACTACCTGATCACGGTTTGCACCACATATTATTCACATAGGCACATTATGTCACTCCTTATCTTAAATTCTTTATCTCAAATCCCCAACTTCCAGCCGCAACTCTTTGTGTACTCTCCCCCAGTCACTGAGTGCCCTGTCTCAGCTAACTACGCTCAAACTGGACGGCAATCCTCTCGGCCCAAAACTTCCAAATGAGGCCATTCTGGTCGCTCCACTTGCGAATTCGTTGGAACATTTGTCACTCAGAGGATGCAAGCTTCGTGAGATACCTGAAGTGTCCAGATTGCAAGCCTCCAATGCCCCGCGTCTAGTCTACTTGGACTTGTCAGACAACGATATAGACACACTACCTCCGGAACTGGGTTTGTGTACACACCTGAAGTGAGCACTGCACTGGTTGGTTGCTTGACCTCAGTTGAGTGAAAGAACCAAGGGAGACAGAATCTGAGTAAAGAATGCTTTTCGGTAATTCTCACCAGACTCAAACATTACATGATGACGACAAAGTGCTAAATATGACGGATTGGGCTGCGTATTGATCAGAATGTTTGCTTCCAACAGGAACAAATCAATTAATCACTGGGTCATTGTAGGTGGTGGCAAATTCTGTACAGGGGAAATCACAGCCGAAGTGGTAGGCCACGGTCGAAGTAAAGGTTATACAAACGGTTTTTGTACGCACAATTCTGGCTTGAGGTGGCGGATGTAGATAGCTTCCGCAATAGACAGGAGATGCTTCCAGAATCCGCGCGAGAAGCGTTCAGGACTCTGAAATCGTTTTCCGTCCCTGCGTGACTGCACTCTAGAAGGTGCGACAAGATGGAGCTGTTACTAGACCTCGCTTCGCCTTTGTAAAACCACTTCGGAATGTGTTCGCGAATCCTATGAGATAGGCGCCTCGTAGTACGACCCACGTATCGTGCACCACAGGAGCACGAGTACAGATAAACAAGCATTGATCGAGTCACCGAAGCAGCCTGCCTTTTAAAGGCTTGCTGTAATATGGTATGCGTAGGGGAACCGCGAAATAACTCTCTTCAACAGCGTCTTTCAAGCGTTTGGACAGGATAGCAGCCGCAGTGTCGCTTTTGAAAGAAAAATACACAATTAGTTCGTTCTTGGGTACATTCATCCTCAGTGCTTTTATCTTGCATTCTTTCATATGTTTGAGGCTGAATTTATCTGGATACCTATTCGCTCTTAGTGAGTCACCGATCCTCTGTAATTCTTTGGTTATGGTGTCTGGTGTGCAAATTCTGTGTGCGCGGAAGGCAAGAGTGCGGATTAGATTTCGTTTGTACTGTAATGGTACCGCACTATAGTTGGTGTAACGTTCAGTTCAAGTTGCTTATCTATACACTGTTCTGCTGCACGATCCATCGGTGTTTCTTATGATATCAACGTCCAGGAACAGTAGTCGGTTTCCGGACTTGTGTTCACATGTGAATGGGATCACCATTAGGACCACTACTAGCAGATGTGTTTATTGCAATGTTGGAGTATAACGCATTAAGAACGCACCTCGACGAAGTCGAGGTGTTTATACGCTATGTTGACGACACATTTATCCTCTGCAAATCGAAAGCGCAGTCTGTGAAACTGTTAGTACTCTTTAATGATGCGCATCAAAAACTAAAATTCACATGTAAGCACTAGTCCGGAAACCGGTTACCGTTCCTGGACGTTGATATCATCAGAATTACCCATGAACCGTGCAGTAGAGCAGTGTGTAGATAAACAACTTGAACTGAACATTACACCAACTATAGTGCGGTACCATTACAATACAAACGAAATCTAATCCACACACACAGAATTTGCACACCAGACACCATGACCAAAGAATTACAGAGGATCGGTGACCCACTAAGAGCGAATAGGTATCCAGATAAATTCAGCCTCAAACATATGAAAGAATGCAAGATAAAAGCACCGAGGATGAATGTACCCAAGAACGAACTGATTGTGTATTTTTCTTTCAAAGGCGACACTGCGGCTGATGTCCTGTCCAAACGCTTGAAAGACGCTGTTGAAGAGAGTTATTTCGCGGCTCCCCTACGCATACTATACTACAGCAAGCCTTTGAAAGGCAGGCTGCCTTCGGTGACTCGATCAATGCTTGTTTATCTGTACTCGTGCTCCTGTGGTGCACGATACGTGGGTCGTACTACGAGGCGCCTATCTCATAGGATTCGTGAACACATCCCGAAGTGGTTTTACAAAGGCGAAGCGAGGTCTAGTAACAGCTCCATCTTGTCTCACCTTCTAGAGTGCAGTCACGCAGGGACGGAAAACGATTTCAGAGTCCTCTATACTATTCCTGAGCGTTTCTCGCGCGGATTCCGGAAGCATCTCCTGTCTATTGCGGAAGCTATCTACATCCGCCACCTCAAGCCGGAATTGTGCGTACAAAAACAGTTTGTACGTCGTTTACTTATACCGTGGCCTACCACTTCGGCTGTGATTTCCCCTGTACAGAATTTGCCACCACCTTCAATGACCCCGTAATTTATTGATTTGTTCCTGTTGGAATTCAACATTTTGATCAACACGCAGCCCAATCCGGCATATTTATCACTTTCTCGTCATTATGTAATGTTTAAGTCTGGTGAGAATTCCCGAAAAGAATTCTTTACTCAGATTCTGCCTCCATTGATTCATTCTGATATAGGGGAATTTTTGGATTAGTGTAGATCAGCATTCCCCGTGATTCAGTCAGTTGAGTGACTTCCCTATCAGTGGCTTTTTTTACTCTTTGTTCGCCGTCTGCCATTTCCGTTATGCCTTTAATTCTCATCATTTTTGAATTCACCATTGGCTGAGATGTAAGATTGATCGTTTTTTGTTGCTATCCGTCACTTTCGGTTCTGCTCACGGCGATCCTGTACGACCGTTGTAAATCGCATTCTCATTGGTGCATCATCACTCGCGAAATCACCTTGTTTAAATTGTCTTGGCTTACCCTTGACATCCAAGAGAGCACTTATTCAAATCGCCCTTGGACTGTTGCGGTAAAAGAAAGCAGGAACCGCGTCATCGTTTCCAGCGTTGAGAACGAACAACGCTGGATGGATTCTGTTGATGCTGGTCTATGATTAGCTGCCGTCCGTCTTGGATTCTAAAAGCCATTCATTGGTATGGATCATCGCTTTCGACTGCACAAACTTCATAATTCTGGAACCAGTGATCCCGTTCTGGGTTAGGCTGGCGACTTTTTCGTTCAACGTCACCTAAAGGTGAGGGTTCGCAGCACCCTATCCTACCCAATCGAATTCGGGCGCGATGTACCACAAAACTCGGTACTCGGACCACGCCTGTTCCTGGTCTTCATCAATGACCTCGCGAGGGTGCGCTCTCCAGATTTTAAACTGTTCGCCGATGAGCTAACATTTTGGAGTGCTGTCACTACGTCGGAACATCACACAGCCTTAATCTCCATAGGGCTTTTACACATGGTCCACCAGAAACACGCTCGAGTTGGACGCATCCAAGTGCAAAGTTCTGCGCACACGCAATCATATCACACACATCTACAAACTAGGGCCATGATTTCTACAGCGCACTTCTCATGAGAGCGATCTTGACGTGCTCGTGCGGAATGACTTTGGCTATTTGAGGTAGACACATCAAATAAAGCATATCAACACTTTGGCATCCTTCGTAGTGCGCTCGGGAAGTTAGACTCACTTGGAATGCACAAACCAAGCGTGGCTGCTCTGGCAGAAACATCAACTTACCACGTTCGAGGCTGTGTAATGCAGGGTGATATAGAACGTTACATGTTTGTCCTACCTTCCTCGCCAACTTAGGCTTAAAACCCTAAGCTTGTACAGTGCACATGCTTGGCGTCTACAAGACGATCTCCTAATGCTCCATGAGATTCTTTTGAAACATCTAAACACATTTGCCACCATTTTTCGAAACATTCAAAACACATCTCCCAGGGACCATCAGTTCAAGCGGACCACGCAGTACAGCTGACTCGAATGTCCACGAGATTTTGTCCCTCCTGATGTCACTGTCCTGGAACTCCCTTCTAGCGCACAGTGTCAGCTAACGTGTGTTGATGATTATCACAATTTAGCACGCGATCTGACGACACTTACACTGTTAAAGTACATGCCCATTACATGATCACGTTAGCGCAGAAGGAACGTTGACGCATATCAGACCACCCCGAAACTCCAGACAGAAGTACTCTAATCTGTGCTACTGCAGACCTCTTGCGCAATCCTATGACATGCGCCTTATTTTCTCTACACTGTGATTTTCACTTCAACCACCCTAGGGCACTTATCAGGTTTTTACTATTCTACCCGTTATATACCATTGTGCTACCACTTTTCTCGTTGTATCTACTTAAGTACGCGAGAATATAACGGCTAACTTCGATAAGACATCATTTTAGTAAAAACCGGAGCTCCTATAGCACTAACGCGGGCACAATGACGCCAAGCTTGTATGGTTAGTGTGGTGTAAACCAAAGGATTCCATTTCACCTCTGGGTCCAGCCGTCGAACTTGGCATATGACAATCGGACAAAGCAAGATTGCTATTCTCAAGACAGCTAACTGCGCTCAGTTCTGTGGATTGGAGAAGCCTGTTAAAATCGTTACACTAATCCCGAGTGAAATGAAGCTCGAAACGGCCAGCCACTTTTGGTATCCTAAAAATTGCAACTGCGGTCTGTGTTCCGCGCCAAGTTCACCAGCGAATTTGCTTTGCAGGACTTTTTGCTTTAATAAACCTCTTGCTCTCTTTGACAGCGCATATCCTACCTTTAGTTTGTTTTCTTTTTGCATGCCTAGTGGTACCGAGCTTATCTCGTAACCTTGCACCGCGTTGATTCGAATTCGCATAGGAGGGTGGGCATCCTCTCGGTATACTCAGCCCGCGTGCGACTGGTGCTGGTCGCACGGCAGCGAAGCATCGTTACGGCGTACAGCTGACACCTTACTTTGCATGCTTTACTTTCCCTTGTGTTACAGATCCCTCCATCTCAACGGGAACACATTCCGAATTCCCAGGCCAAACGTTATTGCCAAAGGAACCCCGGCTGTTTTGGAATATCTCCGATCTAGAATTCCTTGCTGACCTTGCGTTCCACTTCATCCTCCTGGCCGGTGTTTGCCAAGAATTCCCTGCTTTTCCAATGTCGGACGTATCACGAACCTACTTGTTATCTACAAGAGTTCTCTTAATAATATTGTTACTCAGCCCTCGTAGTACCGAAGGCAACTTACTTTCTCATTTCTATTCCTAATATGTTACGCCGACTATATGAGTTTGAGTCTCTTTTGTGTTAGCGTCCAAAACTTCGCCCTGTTCATCTGCTAACGAGATTCCGTTGACTTTTGTTACATTCACACCCCCATTGGCTCTGAACTCATCCTTGCCCTTCTGTTACGTACTCCATCCCACCCGGTCTTCGAGGAGATCCATTTGCTTTGTAACTACACTTCTCCACCACATATTCACGAATTGCTCTATGCATCACCACACCTGCCTGTTTACTGAATCACGGGATAGCTCGATTGGCTCTAACTGCGGAGGGGCTTGACACAGCGATGGACCAAATCTAAATTACGCTCAACCCCGCACTACTCATAAGTAATCAAAGATTCGTCCGTATCACTTCTTACCGCTGTGTCGCTATGCCGATATTCGTACCTCTCGGGGGCCAACCGTGTCCTCTGCACAGTTCGTAATTGGCGTGACAGTGTAGGAGGAGTCGTGTTGTATCGTAGTCAACCGCCAGCCATGCATATCTGCCGTCGTCATACATGGCATAATGGCACAAGCTACATGCATCCGGAAGTCGTTCGGTCAGAATCACGCAGGGGTACGGAAAATGGGCATCACTACCGTGACCCAGAAGGTTAAAACGTCTAGCTGGTACCTTTTCCTACGAGTGGGGGCCTGTTTGACTGCGATGAACCCTGTCAAACTTACACCCAAATCTCCAATACTCATAAGTAACACGCACCTTTGACGCTTTGGTCTCGAACAGACATTAGGGCACCGCTTCCTGACGATTATCACAAACCTCGTCCTAAATCAAAAAGCCATCATGATTTAGGAGTTGCTATATCAGATAGCCGGTGATATGAGAGAACGTACGACAACAAATCGCATCATTTAACCACAGTATAACAATACAAAGCGTTATGGCCATCCCGCCACCATGAGTTTACTCGGCGGATCTTTCCGTTCGGTCCCTTTAGACTTCATCGATTTACCCAAGGTGTCATTTTGCTAATCAGACGAATGTCCTCACTTCACTCAGTGATTCGTTGGTCCGCAATCAAATGGGTCACTTTAAAGTTTTTTACTGTCTGTCTTGTTTTCACCCTTCGATTTTGTTTATGGACAAAGTTCAGCTTAGGATTTTTTTTGGGGGGGGGGGAGTGCAATTCACTGCTACTCAGTTTGTGGTCAGCAGATCTGATTAAACACACATCCTTGATGTTTCTCGGCTTTTCACGTGAGAGATGTTGAAGTTAGTAGGTCCGCTTTGCTGTAACCAGTGGTTGTAACGACTCTTTTAGTCGAAACAAACGGGTGACTCGCTCGGAAAGTTAGTCGATTGCATTCGATTCTTTTAAGAGAGCAAGACCGAACAACACTTTTATGGGATAACCTGAATTCAGATTATTTCGTGTCTTCTCATTCAGCTGCTTACAAACAATATCGTGGGAAGAGCAAAGGAATGAAAAGGAAATCAATAAAACACTGAAAATCAGGGTCATCGCCTACGTCTTACCAGGGCAAAGCAAGACTGGCCACAAGGTCGACAAGTTTGTAAAGGTTAGGTTTCATTCGTCGGATAGCAGAGGCTTCAGCGAGACGAAGCAAACTCGCGTTGTTTTGTCTGCTGATAACCTTGAATGCGTCACGTGGGTTTTCACACAAGGTACGATTGAGCTGGCAGGGAGTTTAGGGCCACTATTTGCCAGGTTCCTTGGAACATGATCCTAGTTGATAGCCTTTTCTCGTACGATTCGTGAACTTAGTCACCACGCATTTTCTCCTTGTGAGCTGAATCAAGCGCCTAGAACGAAGGTGGATCCCGCACGCGTCTAAACGACCCCGAGAGAGGAAGAGAAGAAAAACAAGTTCTTCGCGGCAGACGTTTTTATTATCCCAGAAAAACGAATACGGCGTTGCTCAGGTTCACTTATCGGCAGAGCGTGGTGGCGTATTAGTTTTTTCACACTGAATTGCCTGCGTAGGCTAAACCAGGAAATCGAGATATAAGCAAGTAAAACGGCACAATTCGGTGGCATCGGAAAGTTAAACTTTGTACTTACGGAAGCTGGCTTGAATTATATGTACTGGCATGAATACCAGTGTCGGAACCTTACATGGTTTCGCTTGTGCGATCCTATGGGGACATGAGTTCCCCTATAGCATCTGCTCAAGTTTGTACATACCGTTATTGCTACGTGTCAATCTGTAAGGTTTCGGTCCCTTGACGGCTGCGTTCCATCCTACGGTGAGGACCGATGAAGTTTGATTTGAGTTGCACATCTCCCCCCAGACACCGACTGTCGCACCGCGATTTCCTACGTATCCAGTACTATATGCAACGACAGTTGCTTGGCCGACTGGGACTGTTCACAGACCGTTCCGCGTCGAGGTTAATTTTGGTGGCGAACCCATGTGTCATCTTCCACAACGACTTCATCTAGCGTACTACCACGCTGAGCTGTAAATGTGGCTTCGATTCCCTTGTAACCAGCCCGGTAGTCATGCACGAAAACAGGAGTTCTAACAGCGAAGCCCTTGTGACCGGTGAAGATTTTAAGTTTCATCCCTGACTTCATGTGGTGTGCGCAGGTCCCGACCCATCAGTGCTTCGGCAGGAGATTGTCCTCCAGTTGATACTGGATTCTGTCTGATCCTGTTTTCGTACAGTAAAGCCTGAATAGTTGCTTCCATTGGCCTCTCCCCACCAGCTTTCAATAGCGGTCCCTTGAAGGTGTTGACGTCCCTGTCCTTTGGACTTAGGATTGTAGGCCGGTGAGCGGTGTTGGATCCAGTGCCGGCGGTACAAGTCTGAAAACATCGAAGAAGTAAATCGAGAGCTGTTATTTGAAAACAGGACATCTGGGCGTCTTTGTTGACTAAATATTAGCTGGAGGCAAGTCCGTGTGGCGATTGTGGTCGTAGGGCGAATGGCCACGAACTCGTGCTATATGGAATAAGCATCAATTAGGGTAAGATAGGAGATGTTATTAATTGGACCAGCATGGTCGATAGGTACACGAGACTAAGTCTTTTTCACTGGTTGCCAGGGAACTGGTGGCTGGCGCTGTGACATGTTGGCTGCTTGTTTACATCGGTGTCCCCGTCGATACCAGACCAATTGACGAGGCTGCAGCAAGTGATTGCTTCCATTCTTTTCCGTGTTGCATCAATTAGGGGATGTCATTGATTGGACCAGCATGGTCGATAGGTACACGACATCTTTTGTGCTGGCGCGTGATTGCTGTGTCACATCGGTGTGGCCCTTGATAGCAGACCAATTGACGGGGCTGCAGCAAGTGATTGCTTCCATTCTCATCGTAAAAGCAATTTTCCATTTCGATGCCGCGAGTTTACCCCTATGGATTTCTTTGTTCATTCCTCGATAACCTACTTTGGCACTTCCGCAGTCGGCGTTGGCTTTCTGGGGGCCAGCCCTGTCCTCCGCACATTCATAACATGCAACGCAGTGAAGGATGAACCGCGCTATATCGCAGTTAGATATCACTCATGGCGGTCTGCTGCCGTCGCCCATGGCTCAGTGACATAAGTCGCTGACTCGCGAGTGTAAGGTCGTGGGTTCGAATCCGGCAGGATTTGGTGGGTGCGCGATACTGACGAGTCCTAATAGGACGAAACGGCCGTCTAGCGCTTTCCTGGATGTGTGTTGGCTGTCTGTCTGAGTCTAACTATGATGAATCTCACAAAAACCGAGCAAATCCCCCCACTACTTACAAATACTTTTGTTCAACTGCTGTCTTCAGCTCTATCTGCTTAGCGCTTTTAATCTAACGATGGTAATCAAAAAGTCAGGAGGACTCGGATGACGGTGTACATGCTGCGTTACAGGATGGCTATACTTATAGGTCAAACCTATCCTCCTACATAGGCATCGCAGTCCTCAAATCGCTTGTGTTTCCGCCCAGCTGATTTGATGGGAGATACCATATTTTGGGCCATCTGCTTGTATCCACCCTGCCGATGCGCACCGGGTTTCATTAGCTGCTCACTTCGTTACTGTGCTCCGTAGCTGTCCAACTAATCGCACGCCCAATCGAAAGCCTACTGATAAGTATCTAATCTCAAGCATTCATGTGATACCTCATAAACCATAGTCCGTGCAGTCGCCTCGTCCCAGCATGGTAACGCCGCGCATAGATGCTCCGCTTGGCTGCCTGATACCTAACCGGGACTAACTCGGATTCCTCTTAAGCTGCTGTTGTGGTCAACTTCGTGCATATATTGATTAGTGGTAACATATGTTCAACACTTCCTCTTCAATCCTAAAAATCTGAAAACGCTTTTTTCCATAGTTTCGCTTGATGCTGACGTATGTTCCCGTAGTGTTCTGTTTCTGATCGGTTCGTTGAACAACTCCCCACTCCTTGCTAACTTGGATCAAGATACAAATTTGACATTGAAGTCTCTTGTAGGCGAGTGCAAACGGTTGATTACTTTGAAACACGACACCGCTATGATTGAGCAGAGTCGACCCATCATTGCCGATACTGTCCATGATGTGCAAAAAGCGAGGAAGGCTGGCTCGAACAAGCCATTCAACAGAACGCCGAACAAGCCGCCTACACCTTGTTGGTCATGTGGTGAATGGCATTTCGCATGATACTGTCCATTCAAGCGTCACATTTGTGATAAGTGCCATAAACGCGGCCACAAGGAAGACATTTGTCATCAGTCCCGGTTAAGAAGCGTGAAGCAGTTCTACCGAAGGAAGAACTTCAGGAAGCCTGACGCAGAATCACTATCAGTGATTGCCACGTTTCACAGCGGTTCTAGAACACGCCGCCGATTTATCAATGTGCTTATCAATGGAATTCCAACCCGGCTGCAGTTCTATGCGTCATCAGATATAGCGATCATTTCCAAGAACACGTAGAAGCAACTAAAAAGGTCGAAGGTGCTTGATTCCAACAAAGTCGCCCACAACGCATCCGGTGGTGTGCTGAAGCTGGTTGGAGAAATAGATTGCAAAATTACATTCAACGGAGTGGAACCGACTGAAACCTGCTACTTGTCTGACCGACCAAATTTGAATCTCCTTGGACTTGACTGGATGAAATAATTACAACGGTTTGATGTTCCAATGAGTCAGATTTGCAATAGAGTCCAAACCGGCCCAGTCCATGCATCATTGTCGATAGAAGACATGACAAGAAAGCTAAAGCAGGAGTTTGCCGCCTTGTTTGAAAATGTTCTCGGCCACTGCACTAAGTTCAAAACAAACTTATGTCTTCGCGAAGGAACCAAGCCACTCTCCAGAGCAAAAAGACCGATACCGTATGCAGTCATGGCAGCAGTTGATCAGCAGCTCGACCGACTGGAGCGAGCCGGTTTCATCACACCAGTGAACTACTCTACATGGGCTGCGCCTATCGTTGCTGTGAGAATGGTAAAGTGCGTGTTTGCGCCGATTTTTCCACTGGCC